CAATTTCCTGTAAAAATTTTTGAGATTTCCCATTCTTCATGCCAAAGACCGAACGTTCGGGATTTTAAAATTATGTCGTAATCTGTAATGGCAACTGGCGGAGCCGAATATTGAGGATCGTTTACGTTTGGAGCTTGAATCTTCATTAGTTTGTCAACTGTTTCGTTGCCAGTTATTCCTGAGTGTGAAAGCACCCACATAAACTAACTTCTCCACTTTGATTTTCTGACAATATTTCTCTGATGCTAGTGATATAAAAACAAAAATAACTTTTGTAAGAAATATGCACATTCTCCAGACATGTGAGGACACTCAATGAGTCGGTTACAATTAAAAGCTTTTCTGTACCTCTTATTCCTCTATGGATGCGTGCTTATCCAACAAGGTGTTTTACCTTCCAATTTTTGGTTCAGAATCGTAATACGCAGCACTTTAGCACTTTCTTGTGTCTTTGAACCATCTGTGTATATTTTACGGTTTCTCACCATTTACAAAATGTAAAAACTCTGTATTATTAGTTACTTTTTCGACACAAATTTTAGGTATACTGGTTTGAATTTCTAATGTACTGAAATCTCATTTTTCTCTATGGTATATGCTTTTATATATACATTGGATTTCTTCTAAATATCCACTTTGTAAAAGAGTATTAGATTTATACACATTTACATACATCTTATTAGCTAAAATTTTAACGTAAAATTTTTCAGTGAAATACTTAAGTCTTACTAAATTAGGAGGGATGCCGGCTTCAATTTCCAACGAGTTAATTGGTGTAGAGCAAATAGCTCCAGTAATAATTGTTAACTCTTTATTTTGCATAACTTGTAATTTATTATACAAATTAGAACTAATATGTTTTCCATAAACTACTAACCCATAGTCATAGTGGCTTCTAACTATAGCTTGAAAGATGATGTTCAAAATTTCGCGATACATTCGCAAAGTCAATGTCTCATTATATTTAAAGTTTTTTGCATTTTAGCTACAATTTAATGTACATGAGAATGAAAATTTAATTTAGAATCAAAAATTATACCTACAAACTTCTTTACTTCTACTGCTTTAATATTTACAGAACTATATACAATATCTAGAGAGTCATTATTATGATTTGTTTTATTAAATATCGTGACAGAGCTTTTAGAACGATTTTCATCTAATTTAAGTTTATAATATACATGTAATTTGTTTAATATTTCATTTAAAGTAGATTCTGCTTGTATTAAATTTTTGTGAGAAGTATACAACACAATATCGTCAGCATACTGAAGGATAGAGAACCTTGGAACCGTTACATATGAGTGTATTTGAGGTATGTATAAAAGATAAATCAATGGTGACAAGGTCGCTCCTTGTGGTACTCCTTAAAAAGCTATCTTTGGAACGGTCCTAAAATTTAATAAGAGTTTACACGGGTAAACTCTTATTAAATGTAATAAAAACTGTTCGAGAAAAAATTTAAAATACAACTACATACTTTGTCGGGTATATTAAAAATATGTAGTATTTGGACTAAAATCGACAAATCAACGTTATCGAAAGCACCGCTTACGTCGAGAAAAGAACTAATTAAATAGCCATCATTGCAGAATGATTCCTGTATATCACCACAAAATTTTAAAATACTATCTGTTGTACTACGGCCCTTACGAAACCCGAATTGGTCATGAGGAATAATTAACCTAGACTCTACATAAACCTCCGCCAATCTTGTTTTAACATATTTTCAAAAATGTTACCTACGCAAGAGGACTAGGAAATCGGTCAATAGGAATTTGCAAAAATGTGGTCTTGATCCGATTTTAAAATGGGAACTACTGCTATAGATTTCCAAGAATCACGTATGACACCTTTTACCCATAAATCATTAAAGATGTTTAATAAGATTAACTTAGTTGCCGAATCAAGACGTTTCATTAAAATGTACGGTATGTCATCTAATCCTGGGGAAGTATCTTTTTTCTGTTCGAACGATAATTTTAATTGGTAATAATGATTAAGACTTGAGAGAGATTTTTTTTTGTGAATTAGCCGTAATGATAAGAAAATGGCTCCTTTCAATTTCGTTCGTACGTCATCATTATCATCAGCAACTAAGTAAATTGTTGTTGATGATGATGTAGAAACAGATATATATCTGCTTCTGACGCGAGTTTGTGAGTTGTGGTCTTTCCGCAAAGGTGGTGGCTTTGCGATCTAGTCCTTTAGACTAACACATTGCAAGTAGTCAAGAGTTGTGTATCATCTTCGACATGCTGGTAGACTATGTTTTCCTTTATCTGTAGCTACTAACATTAACATAGATGTACACGAATAACTGAAATTAAAGTGCCGTCATAGGGATTCGAACCACCTACCCCTCAATTAGGAAGCAACCGTTCTCCCAATAGGCTACCACTGCCGTTGTTTATTTTTAGCCATTAATTCGCGTACTTATATTTTTTATTAGTAATGAAAAATATTTGATTACCTGTTATGAAATTGGAACTAGATTTTCGTTGCCCAAATATCCAGTTACTACACCAATGCCTGCTGTGTTCATGCGGCTACGAATGAGGTGTGTTTTATTAGAAATTTGTCGAATATGCAATTGTCGCGTTTATAAAGCCACTTTAGCGATGACTGTATTTGAACAGTGCACATTGCCTTCGTAGAATGTTAAACAATGCGCCCTCACTGCGCCTGCTGCGAGAAAGGTTGAATCATTTACTGATAGAATATTCTAGAAATTTTTGTGACGAAACATTTATTTACTTCAAGATGTACGCCAAATCGTACTTCACCTATGAAATTATTTCAGTATTTTGCAGTTTGTCAAGACCTTTTGCTTGACCACAGGACTCGGCAAGACATTGGGCATAGAATGGTGTGCTGCTGATCATGTGGTACTTATACATATGGTGGACATGCCTCGGCTACGCAAATAATACGCGTCGTGGCGCACCTCTGTGAGTGCGTCAACGACCGTGTTAATAATCAATTGTCACACGGACGCTCTGCAATAATAGAATGTGAAACACTATAGGAACTATTATTGCTTCGTCGTTTCTCTCTACTAGTAATTCGCAATGCTAAATATAACTTCAAAAAAATATCTAACCAAAAAGTGTTTATTGAAGTACAATTCAGAGCATTACAAAACAGAGGTTGAGACCATTGAATACTCGTGCCAGGAGGTGCCGCTCTGAAGAGCGGGTCGCAGAAGGAGAACTATGACTCTCCAGCTGTCGACATACGAGGTGGGTAACGGGTGGCGAAAGCACCCGCGACTTGCGTCCATGAGCGGCAGACTTAGGGGAGTCTGTCGCTCGTTACTGGTGGACTCGAGATGGCGGCGTACGTGTTCCACGTCTGCCTCTCAAGAGGGCGGCTTACGGGGCGACAAGAAGTCTCCCCGGGATGGGATTCGGCGCTGCCGAACTAATCACCGTCGGAGTCGCGGAATGGAACACCATCAAGTTTTAGTCGGGCGCAGGGTATCCATGAGGATTTCCTGACGTTAAAAAAGGAGGTGCCGCTCTTCCTTAACTAAAACATACTTTAGTAAAGACGTTAAACAATAAAAGAAAAGATTTCTAATAATCTCAGTACAGAGTACTAAAAATCCGACCTCAAAAATACGTGGAATTACGTCTATTTGCTAAGTTTTATTGAAATAACCCCTAGTTCGCCACTATACAGGACTTGACGCTGGAGATAATAAAAATAGGTTCTCACTACGACACTACTCAAGTATATTGAGAGAAAAATCAAGCATTAAAGTAATTGCTCCTTTAGTAATTGCTTTAATTTATTAAAGTTAGGCGCTATTTATAAAAGTGAATCGTCATGCGTGAACAGCCACCCTTCGAGATGGATGATTCCAACAAAAAAAGAATCATGAAAATCGGTTCGCAAATACCGGAGTTATCGCGTAACAAACACACAAAAAAAGTCGAATTGAGAACCTCCTCCTTTTTTGAAGTCGGTTAAAAATATTTTAGAATAGAATAGAAATCTTTTATTACTACGCCACAACAAAAATATACACAGTAATAAAATGAAGACAAAAAAAAAGATGAAGCTACATTAAAACAAAAAATTAAAATTAAAATAACTGAAAAAAAAGGAATAGAAATAAAATCATACACAACAACAAAGCAAACATGAAATATTTAACACAATTAGATTAAGTGTCATGTGCGTGGCTGTGGCGTATGTAACAGGATCCCACTCGGCTATTGTCACCACCGAGAAAAGGCTGTGACGCTGATTTTCAGTGTGAGTGAGTACCGGACGTGTGTGTCGCGAATATACCTACATTTTACATTTTTTCAAATGCTTATATTTGTGTAAAATAAAGAATGATTTGAAAGTTAATACGTAGGTAACTGCGTAACTTTGTTTCATAATCCGCAAATTGAACGGAGTACGCCGCCTGTATATATTAAATAATTTCGCGTACTGAAATTAGGGTCGGGACCACGGGCCTCCAGCGACCAACCCCGTGCTTTCGTAGACGCGAAGGTCATTTCACCATCTTTGTGATTAAAATATACAACGGCAGAGATACTATAACGAAACAATTGCGTACATTAAAAAGATCGACATCATGTGTACCATACTCAGCGATGTCTCTACTTTTTAGATGACACTGAGGACAATCATGAGTTTATTTCAAATAAAAGAAATAATACCTGCCCATACATTACATACTTAATGAAAGTTTTATACCTAACCGTTGAGTTGACTGTCTGCAAGAAAAAAATATAAAATATGCCTTACGTACCTAGTTAATATGCATCTTTTAATTATTTCTATACACCCCAGCGAACAATCAACCTAATATAAATGCATAAGAAAGCTCAAGGTCGCACAAAGGGCAATGGAAATGCTCGGAATTTCACTGCGAGATCGAATCAGCAATGAGGATAGCCGCAAGGGAACCAGAGTAACCGACACAGCCCAAAGAATTGCAAAACTTAAGCAGTGGGCAGAGCTCGTCGCTCGCAAAAGAGATGGCCGAAGAGGCCGACGAGCGTACCGGAAGACGCAGCGTGGGCAGACCACCCTCAAGGTGGACTGACGACCTGGTGAACGTTGCGAGAATCCCCTGGGTACAAGTGGCGCAGAACAAGCTGTCGTAGTATTATTTGGGGGTGTAGTGTAGGTAAATTCGTATCTTTTAAGAAAATTTTGCTGGAGGATAGGTCAAGGATTCCGGCAATAGCCGCGAATCTGTGAAGCGGTTTTTCTTTACGCTTCTCTGTAATTATCAATGTCTCGCGAGTTAGTTCAGGATATAACGTGAGAGGGCTTTGTTGAGCGGTGGACATCTTTCGGCTGAAATGATGATTTGAATGTCGTTGTGTACACACAACTGGAAAAAAACAATATTTTCTTTGGCCTGATGACATTCTCAGTTAGTAACTTGGTTGGGTAACAAAAAATATTTTGTACAAAATTTGAAACAGAATTAATAATTATTCGTGTTTTTTGAAGTTGGCACGCGCCAAATACGAATTGTATTATGATGCCCCGTATTAATGTTAATTGAGTTTCCAGCCCACATTTTATACACAATGCCTTTTTATGTAAGAAACACTAGCGCAAGAGGTAACGTGAGTCTCGTTGAATAAAAAATATATCATCTCCCAACTAGGTTAGGGCTTAAGACTCACTAGTCGAAGTCGACCCAAATGAGGCGTAAAAGGTCCAATTGTATGGTCCAAATGAATAATGACGTACATCACTACCCACTTGTATATTTACTCCTAGGCATAAACCCTAAGCACCCTAAAGTACTCTCTATTTTACTAGTAATTTAGCGTTTTAGTACTGGTATAATCAGCGCGCATACGGCTTCGATCCGGACATGTTCCGTTTACCAAATTTTTGTATTTGATGAGGAGGTGCGTTCTCCAAATTGTGAAGTATATGGAATTCCTAAGGGTATACATCATTTTTTTTAAATTTATTTGGTCAGCCAACAATTGTTACACCAATAAAATATCAGAAAACATACATGCAAAAAAACTTAAAACTAAGTGCACAATCTATTGTAGACCGACACAACATGCCCAATAAATTATTGCAGAGTAAAAAGAAACTTGCAAAAAGAAAAGTGTAAACATTAATTTAACTATATAAATCATTTGCAAAAACAAATAGTGTTAATATCTTAAGACTAAGCGAAAGCATAAAAAAGAAATTAGGTAACAGAGTCTTAGGACGGTGACGCGATTTCGCGCTTGGTTCTTACTGCAGAGAAGTAGTGTAAATCAATCGTTGAGTAGTGATCATTGTACAACTGGCAAAGCCTAGCAACGGGAGAATTCGCGCCTAAAGCAGTCCTGCGAAAAGGCTTGCAAAGAGGCTTGATGTAAAATCAGGGTAGTCTGCGGGGAACGTTAAATGATATAAGGTTAGAACTGAACTGCATTTAATTTGATTATTTAATAATTTATATAAAAACTTCATATTTAAAATGTCCCGTCGCTTCTCCTACGACAGCATTTGGAACTTTGAGAGTCTAGATTTATATGAACGAAGTTTTTTAGCTTGTCCAGTGTAGAACGCCAAATGATTCACAAACCTCTTCTGCATCCTCTCCAATCTCAGTGAGTGAATGGCGAAATGTGGACGCCACACAGATCTACGACCATTTGATAATGGAGTGTGTTCGGAAGGAACCCGTTAGGGATATTTGCGCAGGTTGGCTTGGTGCATTTAATGTTGAGTGGTTTCGATAATCCGTTTTGTCTAAGCCAACAAATAGCGCCTCGAAGATTTTGTATAAGTACCTACACGTTTGGTTAGGTGTCTAGTATTTTAATTTGTGTGTTTGGATTCTATTAAGAGTTTTTTATGTACATAGGTTTTCTAATGAGGATGACATGTTCGGTAATGATCATGAATAAAGAGTAAAAACATATTGATATAAAAGGACGGGGAGATGGAGCTGGTGGAGGTCCGTAGTCTCTGCCTAGGCCGATGGGAGTTAGGCGTGATAACCCAATGTATAATGACGTAAACGTAGTGTGTATTGTAAACAATCCAATTGTGATAAACAAAAACTTTGGAATGAAATGTAAGGTAGAGCCGAGTCGACCCCGCATCCGCAGTTGATTTCGTATTCCTTGTCTACCCACACACGGGCACCGCGCAACCCCGTTTTCATATTCCGGTGTACTTATAATATATCTTCTCTGTTCCGTGGCGAGTAATAATGAAATGCTCAGGATATTAAGGGAAACGCGACAGTGATTCGACAGTTTGCTCAATGATTGATTGCGGTGGAATGCGTTTGAACCTTAAATATGTGATAAACTGACATTTTCCTTGTTGATTTTAAATACTGCTTTGCTTTGTTTCAGATGCTACCAAATATTCGGCAGTGCTGGTCGATCATGACGAAATCATATTCGTCAACCAGGTAATGCTCTTTTGGGTTCCAGAACCGAAGTGCAAAATAATAAATTGATTTCTTCCTGCATCATTTCACTCCATATTAACCATGGAATAACAGACTACTTAATTACCATTGACTTACAAATAAATGGACGACGGGTCTAATACAAAAACCACGAAAAAAAGTCCCAAGTCAACCTATTTAAACGTAGTAACAAGTCAAGGAATATGAAAAAGCTAAAACGTTGAATTTAAATTGTAATGTCATCGCAGTACTGTCTAATTTTGCTTGCTTCGCTGTCAGTCGAACAAACGAAGACTAGAGCGTGAATGACGCTCTGTATACGATTTTAACGCCCTATAAGTTCGGACACTTTTTAGCGCGGACCCGACGTCCACATAATTGTAAGTCAATGTTAATTACCTAGAAATTTGTCATAGAAGAGGCGTAGGCTACGCTACTAACACATCGTTAATATATTGGTTAAAAACGCATTTTATGGTATTCTATGGTCACTCAAATAAAACTCCAAACAAAAATGTATCAACTCACTTCCAAGTAACGAAAATCACTTCTAATCGAAGGCACTAGTACCAAGGCAAATATTTGAACTTCGATCGTTATACACTTTTGGTTCTTGCCAATTATTATTATGTGCAATAACAATGAGAAGTTCTACACATAAATCAGCACTAATCCAATGAAAACTAAAAGCTGCGAAATCTTTGAAAACTTGGTGTGATAGATTTGAAAACATTTCACCACACATAAGCATCTTTTCTCAGTGCAAGTAGCACAGGGTTTAGCTGAGGTCGACTTTTTATATGGAAAATTTTTGTAATTGGACACGAGTAGATAGTGTAGTTAGTTAATCATGTGTCTGGCAGAAGCAACTGAAGATGGAGGGTTACTTATCACAAGCAAGAAACATGATTTATAGAATTATGTTTCTCCGAAAACCTTTAGATTTTTATTGAATACATTTTTTTTCATTTGTCCGAAAACACATTACGGTTTTTTTCATTACACCATTTAATGTTTCACTATTTTGACATATTGACAACTTATTCTTTTCCCGTTTTTTATTTCCCCAACAAACCGTTCGACCAATGTATCATCATCATCATCATCATTAAGCCACACGACGCCCACTGCTGGACTTAGGTCTCCCCGACGATCGGTCCTGCGCTGCCCGTATCCATCGGCTTTTACCAGATCGTCGATCCACCTGGTGGGCGGCCTACCCACTGAAAGTCGTCCGGTGAGCGTTCGCCATTGAAAAACCTTTCCGCCCCAACGGCCGTCGTTTCTCCTAGCTATGTGCCCCGCCCACTGCCACTTCAGCTGAGCAATTCTTCAAGCTATGTCGGTTACCTTAGTTCTCGTACGGATTTCCTCATTTGTGATTCTATCACGTAGGGAAATACCGAGCATCGCTCTCTCCATTGCCCGCTGAGTGACCTTTCTTTATTATAAGAAGGCTTTCTTATGAGGCCCATAGTGAGGGACCACGTTTCTGTTCCATGTGTAATCACTGGCAACACACACAGGTGAAAGACTTTCATCTTGAAACACTGAGGTAATTTGAACGCAAAGATTTTTTGTAGTTTCCCGAACGCTGCCCATCCGAGCTGGATTTGACGAGAGATCTCTTTCTCAAAGTTGGATTTACCTAACTGGACTGTCTGAAGCGGGTACAACATGGATATTCGACATGATCTTATCTTATTGTACGCTTTCGAATGAGTAGCCCTAACTTCATACTCATTACTGCATAAACGCAATCGGTTACACAATATTTTATGCGTAGATATATATCGTAAATTGTCACCCTCAGTGGGATTTTAATTTGAGTGCCGACTACGTAATATCACGTATAAGACCATTTGATCCTAGTCTGATGAATAGGTACCTACGACATTCAATGGGCTGACCACCAAACTTACTACAGACGTTAGTCGAATATCTAGCCAAAAGAAATTAGAGATACCTACCAGGCGTATGAAGTTCCGTCTCTTTCTTCTTTCGAACTAAGTTCGAGAATTAATTGTAGTTTATTTCCGGGATAGATAAACTAAGAGTATGTAATATACAACTCTGGCACAATTGGAATTGTGGATTTTTTCATTGCTTCTTGACAATTGTTCTAAACCGCGAAATGCACTGGCGCGGGCTGGACATAATCTTGTGTCCAGCTCTTGTGTCCAGCTCTTGTGTCCAGTCCAAGCCAGGCATCTTGGAAGCAATGGGAACACAATAAGAACTTAAATTAAGACTTTTAGTCCATACTGACCTAGTTAGACGCTACCTCAAGGTAACGAGAGGAAATGGTGTAAGGAATAAATATATTTTACATAGGCGGGTTATAAAATACGTGACACTTTTTACAACATAAGGTAACAAATGGGATTTGTATTTTGTATCGGTGCCGGCGGCCGCGCGTATGCTCGGTTCACATAAATATTTATATTTTATACTCAGATTCATGTGACTCCCCCGACCAAGTTATTTAAGTTTCTCGGTATTGCTGAAAAGATGTCCACAGCAGAACGAGTTCTAATGCCTTTTCAAGTAGTTAATAAAACTTTTGTTTCCGCCATTGTTTTTGCTTGCGTTAATAGAGGTCTTTATAAACTGTGTTAAACTATGTGTGTCCCACTGCGGAACATGAACCTCCTCTTACACTGAGGCTTTTATGCGACACCTGAACACAATTAATAAAGAAAGGTAAAGGCTAAGGTTGCGATCAATGGACCAGCGCTTCGATTGAACCACTTCAAAATCTCGTCAACTATTCATTTTTGAAGTTGTACGTTGGTTCGGACCAGTAGTTCTATATCCTCCCGCTCGGCCCTAATCGCGCCACGAATATCACAGGCTTCGTTGAGGAGAGATATTCGTCGTCGTGTTTCTCGCGCATATTTTTTTCAAAATTTTTTTTTTACTGGATTGTCGGAGGTGTTAATTTTGTAAATAATATTTAATGTAACATATATTATATCATACATTTTTGTAAATAACATATTAGTCAGAAAGCTCCAAATTGCCATCAATGGAGCAGTGCTAAGGTGTTTGGTTGGACCGGTCCAATCATGGAAACTTCTTTAAACTATTTTCATTTATATTTTATATGTTTTAGCGGCACAAAGAAGAAAATATTATGATGAAGTAAGCATGAAACTGGCACTACAAGCTTTAGGCAAAAAAGAAGTGGACTTGAATGAGGCAAGCAGAATGTACGGAGTGCCCAAAGCGACCTTAAAATGAAGGTTTGATGATAGAAATGTAAAGCTAAAGACGAGAATTATAAATCTAAATTATAATATATCATGAATAGAATTTTTAGTTAATGAAAAATGTTATGGTACTCCTTGAGTCCAACTTTTAAAGCAAGTTGGCCAGCTACAATGAGCTGGCTAGGTACGATTGTTTCGGTTATGGTCATAGCTGACCTCAAAGAGTATGGTTGAACAACACAGTTTTATTTACTTAAATAAACATTTTGTTCCTTTGTATTGTGTGTATTTTTCTCATAGTTTCATTATATAAACTGAGATTTGATATTGCGTAGCCAGTTATAAACTTTATTGTCAAATATCTTGTCATAGATATTTTTTACTTAATTAAGATTTATTTGCACGAATAGTCCCATTTGAGCGTTGCGCTTATTATTATTAATAATAAAGACGTTAATTTGACGCTCTTTGATTGAACCGGTTGAGAAAATCTTTTAAGTCCAATGGTGGCACTGAGTGGTCCAATTAAAGTGACGATGGTCCAAAAAAGGTAACCGTCACATGTTTTTATTTTTCTGCTTTATATAATAATGCTTAATAAAAAGAAGCCTGTAGCGACATCTACATCTTCCAAAATTTCGAATATGTTTCTGTTTACATTGTGCGATTTAAAACGTAGGCCTGTTCAAAATGAAGTGGTCCAATAGCAGCAACCTGACCCTAGTTTGGAGACGATGCTTGATGGCTTTAATACATAAGTGAACTTTCTTGGAAGTGCTGCTTTTCGCCCAAGGCCGTCGTTCGCTATTAAAACAAATAGTATTGTTTTGTTTGCTATTTGACGTAACAAAATGCTTGCCAATGTATACTCGGCCTTAGTCATTAGATAAGTTGATCGAGTCTTCTAACTCCGAGAAACTTTTTACTATGAGGCCCACATAAAAATTCACTGCTGGTAGGGATTTTGTCTTTGCGGAGTCCAGCCTGCAGACCTCTTAGGCAAAGTTGTACCACTGTGTCCGGGTTTGAATGGTGTTTATTTTAATTCGTTCAACATTGTGAACAGCAGCGCGTTGTAATAATACAACAGTTGAACTATTTTGGCTTAGGCCAGTACTCTTGAATATCTAGAAACACTGCGACCACTACCAGCTCGGAGAAAAAATGAAATCTCTTATTTTTACTACACTGACTTTCATTCTATATCTAACGGAACTTAGAATGAAGAAACTATACGTATATTGTTTCGATCAAATGATGGCTCGAATGTATTATTTATTTGTAAATCTTATGAGATTTTGGACGTGTGTTGCGATCAGCTGTATCGTATTTTGTTGGGACTGCAATATTTCCGTAATGTATTTGAAACTATTTATTTCTCCCCCGGCTGCCGTTACCATGCGTTTTAGTATGCCGTTAGTAATTTAAGACCGAAGAAGGTTCTTTGTGATGAACCGTTTGGTGCAATTGGACTTGAGCAGTATCTAATGACCTATATTAGTAAAAGTAGGTCAATGGAAGCAATAAAGTAATTAGCGCCTTCACATTTCATTTAGTAGAATATTAAGTTAAAAGTTGTTACGTTTGCAGATTTTCCGATGTAATCATTTTGAACACAATTTTTTTTGTAAAGAGCTCTAATAGGTACAGGATAACTAAAAGAGAATTCTTTTTCGATTTTGCAAAGGTTTTACGAAGTATAAAGTATACTTTTACGAAATAGAAAGTAAATTTTATATTTTAGGGCTTACTTCTTTAACTAAGTCGGTGTGGAAGATTCATATAGTTTAAGTGGTATCTCAACGCTGTTCTAGGCTGGTCTTAATCAGTTCCTCGGACTACAGTTGTGCCAAACGCTCTAAAGCTTATTGTTTTGAGTTCAAAATGGAAATTTCTAGCTGCTACAGCGCCTGAGATCCCTCCACAAACATAATTGTGCCAACGCTAATATGGCTAAGAACGTGTCGATCTTCCTTTACGACGTCAAACTTTGAACGCCCCGCTTTTGTCGTCAGGAATCGTACTATGGCGCATCCATAACGCTCGCATACTGTCGTAGTCGGTAGATGCTAAGTTTTGTTATTATGAACTACCTACTTTGCTGATGCACCCTTCGTCTACTGGGTCTACACTTCTTTATTTCTTCATATATTTTTATTGATATATTGATGACCAATAATTGTACAAAGTGAGTTGTACATTGTGAGAATAGTGGTATAGCTAATTGTGCCATCAACCACATCATCCACAGATAACTACAAAAATGTAACATTTTTAAATGAATTTCAAAAAAAATTAAGAAACAAACAAACTTAGTAACATTATAAATTACATTTTAAAAAACAGTTTCACACTCCATTGCAGTGCCATAATTTTCAGTAACCGCCTTCTTAAATTTGTATTTAGATAAAAAATCTGCTTCCGTCAAAAACTCATTATAATAATTAATAATCGCCTTAGAGGAGCGCGCACGTAAGAATTTGTCTTACAGGACGTAAGATTGAGCAAACAGTCCATAACGAGGACGAGAGTTGCGCATATGCGTATTTCTCGGCACCGAGAAGCAGTTTATTTGTTAGCTCACTGCAGTCAAACACTTCTCGTGAACATATCAGGCTGCCCTTGTCTTTGTCTGTTTAACGCATGCCATTCCAATTTCTGTGAAAGGTGTCAACGTTTTTGGGTTTGCTTCATTCATCTAATATCATAGTTCGCCTTTCTTTTCGTATTGTCGTCATCGCGTTAAAGTTCGATGAGCATTCTGGTTACATATGAAAACTGCAAAAATGTTCACTGTGAACGTCCATCATAATCGGACAGCTTCTAATTTTTTGATCTGTCGTACTGCCCTAGCGACCGGCTTAGTTTCGATGTAATTAGCAAAAAGTTCTGAATTCAATTTATATCGAAATCTGATGACGTGAAATAAAAGCGACAGGCGGCTCTCAAGTGTTTATTTCGCTTCGGAACAACGTTCGAGTCGAGGCTGAGAATGAGCAGGAAACCTACAGTCGTATTGCAGCCTCTTATCGCGGTTATAAAACAAAAATAAATCTTTGGAAATTGAAGCTCAAAGCTCTAAGTCCCGTCTATCGATTTTCTTGTTTTCTGTGCGTCTGAATTAAAGGCGCAAGTACAGCTTACTTGTGTGCTGTGACACACGTTCAAAGGTTCAAACGCACACACTATAGCTGACCTAAACTACGTGATGTTGCTAACTATTACTTAAAATATTAATATTAAATTGGAGTCATGCGAAATAGGCGCCTAGCTGTCGAGTTGCTTATACCCCGTTACACCAAAGCATACCATTATTGTCACTTGTGTAAAAAAACTATTACACAATTTGTCATAGACATTTTTGACGCAACCTAATAACTGCTAACAATGTATACTCAGTGAATGTACGCATTATAGTTCTCAAAACTACGGATAACGATAAAATGGTTATAATTACGACTTTCGCAAATCATGGCCTTTTGGGTTATTATTGCGATTTGACAATTTAAACAAATGTGAACCTTATGTTGGTTACTTGAGATTCGAGGGTCTTTACAAAAAATAACCATTAATTGAAACCGTGAAACGTAGCAGCGAAGTATTCAGTCGTAGCATATTTTAGAAGTCATCCTTAATGGTGAAGCTTCTTTGGGGGCGTCCAGTCGTTGCTGTCCAAAGAACACTTAAGAGATACCCGATGCGGTACGATGGTAATAATAAATTTCAAGTAATACCTATCGATTAAATTGCCGGTTCGAGCACACGACGCGTTCAAAGAGCAAGTGCTGTAGCAGCTATCGTACGGTTGCACACCGTCAACAGTCACATCCTATAAACTCTGTTTCATTAGACAACAATATGACAATGCCCAAATGTGTTTACTATATATATTATATAATTATTCTATATCGCACTCTCAGGTGATACAAAAGAAAAAATACCATTACATATCGCATTGTAACGTAAAGATGGCCCTATAGGGGAGAAACTATTACATTTGGGATATTTTAGGATAAAAGTCAGGAAAAGTGAAGAGATTGCAAGAGTAACTACGCGTGCGTGCACACGTGAAACAATAGCTTCAGACCATTTTCTACACTTCCATGAAAACAAACAAATGTAGATGGATTTAATTTTGTTTAAACATATTGCCTTCACATAAGACGTAATATTATACAAAATTAAATGAAATATAGAAAACAGGTCACAATAGGTGACGTTATTGCTAAATTCTCAACCTCTTTATAAGAGAATAAGTCAAAAAACAAGCTTAGGGTATATAACAAATGCTTATTATTTATTCGAGAGACTTCACTTGGGATTACTGACTCGTTGGTACGTTGAATCATCAAATCGTGGTGCTACGTTTCTCGATCTATGTCTATATATCATGGTGGTTAAACATCATGATAATCAAGAAAATCAATGTTACGGCCATTCTCACATTCGGTGTTCTCGGCCTAATCACCGTAGCCATGGATACGGTAATTAGTAACTTCAAACCAGCCTACGCTTAGTCCCAGTGATGCAAATCTTGTAAATCCATCGCACACTCTCCGTGATATATTCTATAAAATAAAAACGATAAGCAGGCAAACTTACGACGGTGTTCAAGGCTCTGCGATTGGGCACGGCTGTTATGTAGCAGAGCCATCCCAAAGGTGGCAGCAGTACTTCATGCACGACCGGGCTTGTGCTTGGTACAGCTGAAGCAACTATCCCGGTATAAAGTAACACCTCACCCTGGAAAGGATGCCAAGCTTCCTTGCTGCATTTTTGCCCATGGATTCAATGTATCTGCCGAAGTTCAAATTGGATGACAAGTCCATTCCAAGTAGCTAGAGACAGTCAGCTATCGGTATGGATATATCACTAAAAGACGGAGTCAGCTCAAACGGACTCCGTTTTGTGATGAACACGCATGCGTTTTGGTAGCATCAAATTTGACAAGATTGGCATCGCCCCAATCGAAGACTGCTTTGAGAGTCAAATCCAAACGGCTAACCATTGACTCCCGACAAGACTGGATTTCCTCTCCACTGACCCTTGCATTAGTCAAGTACCTATGCCACCTACAACTGTGCTGTCATCAGCAGACGCAAAGGTGCCTGGAATTAATATATATTTGATATGCAGCAGAAAGAGAGCACACAATGCGGAACCCTGAGGAACTCCGCCACATGCTCGGAAGAGTAGCCTTCTAAGACCACTCGAATCGAAAGTTCGCTCAAGAAATCCGAGATCCACCTGCAAAGGTCAGTGGGAAGCCCATAAGAGCTCCCTCTTACTTAAAAGGCTTGCGTGCCAAATCCTGTCAAAGATACCGACTGAGTGAGAAGCTTTAGGTCTCACACAGGTATCGCTTACGACGATAAAAGACGAACAACCCAATACAAAAGATGTGTAACAAACACAGAGAAATTTGTAAAGCTTGCTGACGATCTGTATGTAACTGAGTTAGTACAGCAATTGCCTAATTTGGCATAAAGGTGCAGGTTCTAGTCTTGTCAGATCGAAGGATTTCTTTTTGTGTTCGATCTTTGTATTAATAATGATACGTAATTAATTCAATTTAGAGAAACAACTTATTATTATTATTTGTCTGTTGAGACCCTCGCCTCTCCCAAGGCCTAAGGCTCAACTCACACCGGCGCAGAGTCGAAGCGTTGCGTCGCGTCCCGTTTTTCAACTACCTTTGTACTTTTTACTACTTTGCACCTTAATAATGGGGAAATAGAGATGAATATGCTGTAGGCAAAAAACATGACGCGTCGCGACGCTTCGACTCTGCGCCAGTGTGAGTCCAGTCTATAACATTAATTTTGAACTTTTATATGGAACGGAACGTTATTATTATTATTGTCATTGTCATTGTCATTGTCATTATTAAAATAATAATAAGCTCTATGACCTAGAACCAATGGACCTCATGAATTTTTCCAAGTGTGCAGATCGTTGTTTTGTTTTTTAAGGGATTTTTTGCCGCATCGCCATCTGTCAGAAATTCGGAAGGTTCACTGGTTCGTTCCGTGGCTTAGTTGGTATAGCGTCTGGCCGGTTTGCTGGGAGACGTTGGTTCGAATCCATCGGACCGAAGTTAATTTTTTTGTGAATGTTCGAACATTGTTTAATAAATCATAATTTAATAAACTAATGGATGATTTTTTTGTTCAGCGCTTCGAATGGCCAATAGCGCGACCCGTGGCCACGGGCGAGGTGCTGACGCTACAGCTGCTGGCGCGGGCACGCTGGGGCGCGCCGCGCGTGTTGGGCGTTTATCGCCTCGGCCTGCAGATCCTCGTCTCAGATGGCCAGCTCTCCATCACCGACACGCTCGTCGATGATCGCAACCGTCCCGTGCCGGTAAGTGTTTCTTCCGCGCCCATCACGTCGTCTTTTACGTTTATTTCATGTCAAGGAATTGCAATTTAGGCTGCTAAAAGATTGACTGCAAGTTTGCAGTTAATGCGTGAAGTCGTAATCAACTTCATGCGGCCGAGACCTCGATTTCATTTGAGTTGATAACGACTTCACGAATTAACTGCATGCAGTCTAAACCTATTGCATTCAATCTGTCAGCAGCCTGTCGATTTCTAATGATGCAGAACGAATAAGCGCAATGAGACAAGAATATTGCTTCATCGCACCGTTGCATAATAATATGCAACGTTGCACCTCAAAAAAAATAAAACGTGTTCAAAACGCCTACATATGGTTCTTTTATAAAGTTCCACTGAGATGTCACATAACACCTGTGCTGAACCTACGCGGTATTCTTAATACAGGATCTAGAAGCCTACGCAATTTTTCTACATTGATGCACTCCGTTGCCAGATACAAAACTCTATATGTCGAGTTAAAATGGCGTACTTATTCGTATAATTCACGCAGGGTTAATAGTTTTTTATTGGTAACACCATTTCATAAAACAAGAGCCTTTGGGGGTAGCTTTTGGTATCAGGCATCTAAGTGCTAGAACAATCTGCGTCCTCCACTTGGACGGTCAATCTCAATACCTGCATTTAAAAAACATAGGAAAAATCTGTTGATGGAAAATCTGATGTTCCTAACTCTTGCCTTCTAACTTATTTATATTTAATTATATTTACTTGTAGCTTTTATGTAATAATGTATCGCAAGTATATCGTAAATGTGTAATGTGGCATACAACAGAGGATACACATAATAAAAAAAAAAAAAAAAAAAAAAACACGGTACTTACCATTTCCGTAAGACTCGGCAGACGCTGAAACAATCAGCGTCTGCTTCGCTCGAGATAGACATTGCCGAGTCATATCCTTTTCCTCTTTTACGCCACTATGCACACTTACTAACTTAAAATTAAACAGTCACTTGTTGTTGTTGTTTTAAGTATTAGATTTAAGTGTGCATAGTGACTCAATTTTAATGAATAAACGTTTTTCTTTCTTTTTTTCATACGCTCTAGGTGCCATGTACTTATAATAAAATGGCACTACGTAACGTAGGTACTGTTATAGGTAAATAGTACCTATGCCCATTCTCGAAAAAGTCTTATTTTAATAAAATCGTTCACCTTAGCTTAAAAATATGGTCAATTAATTAATTCAATTTCATAAATATGTTACCATCTTTTCCTATTGAGGATACTTTCTCAAAGTGGAGATGCTCGTAACCACGTGTGTATGCAGAAGAAGCATATTGCATCTGCAATGTACCTTTTCATGGACACGAACGTTTTAATAAATGTTACTACTACACAAGAACTTTCGTTCGACAAGTTCGTAGTCACAGTCATTTGTGTACCACAACCTTACTTGTGATGCTGTTCTTTACTCAAACCCCAATTTAAATGGAGACGTAGTTTTAAATATTTATTTATTAAGACATAATTTTGTTAAATCAATGGACTCCGATTAAACATTATATCAGGCAGCCAGCGTCTAAATTGGCGTACAAAATGTATGAACATGAATCGCAATATGCACTAAACTACAACTTGGGAAGTACCAAGCAATATACAAAGTGTACGCGATCTAGCTCCAGAATCCTAACAAGTTGTATTTCAAGATATACGAGCGTCCTCAACTTCAGCAATATCTGTTTGAAACTTTGTTCATTTTAATCGACCAACTATTTCTCGTAGCATGAAACTCTAGAGTTCATCAAGTTTATGTCGCGATTAAAGTAGATTTCATTTCCTTTGTACAAACGGAGATTCGGCTTCGAAAGCTGTCTCGCGCGTGCGCCGCGGTCGCTCAAGAAATTAGGAAATCAAATGTTACAATTTTTGTCGAAAAGATGGAGTTTCCGCACATGCGATAATCTCGAATCGAGCCAACTGCAAGGGGCGCCGTCCCACGCCCGAACAAAGCGTACAAGATAATTTCCGAGATAGCCCAAGCGCCCTCCCAGGGGTGCGACGGTAATTCAATAAATCTGGTACGTACGGCACAATGGGTTACCGCTACTTCTCGTTCTGTTAGTAATATCTCTAAGAATCACATAAAAATAACAATTGCAATGATTTTGGAATATTATGTATGCGTATAAGCGCTATGTGACACGGGAACATGTAATAAAATGTAGTTGATTAATACTACCAACGTTTCATTAGGCTTATGTACTATTTGTAAAAAAAATAGGCAAGAATTTTGATTTGAAGATATTAGTTTTTAGTATAAATATAATAAGTTACTCAACATTGCCAACGTGGACAGATAGCATGCCAATGCCCTGCCTTCACATCGTTCTATATACATACATAGGTAAGCTGTAAATCCTGAACGTTACGATTTTTTTAAATGATATATCTATTGATGTTACCCTAAGTGCACCAAACAAGTTAAAATTCATAGAGCGGTATGATAAATATAGATATTATATATATATCTCACCCCTCATGGAAGAATGGCATAAGAGGAGTTACGTAAACATATTTATAGCTCCATCAGATACAGAAAACTATAACCCACATCCTCTTTAACTCGTGAACTTTATCTACAATTTAAGTCGCTAAAGTTTCAAGAATTGGAGAGGATGTAGGTTTAATTTTCTGTATCTAATAGAGCAATAAACTTCGTTAACGTAACTCCACTTATGCCATTCCTCCATGAGGCGTGCGATATATTATATGTATAATATGTGTGGGTGTGTAATATACACATTTTTCGTACCGCTCTATGAATTTTAACTTGTATATACATATATACGGCAGCGTCTCGCTATGACTCGGCGTTGGACGAGAGAAGCCGTGTAAGAGAAGGTAGCAGCAATAGAGCTCCTTGTGGAAGAGTTCGTCCAGGGAAGCACTGCCACATTACCTATTTCTGGCGCCAAGCAGTAATATCAGCATTACTGTGTTTCAGATTTGAAGGGTAAGGGTGCTGGTGAAATTACAGGCACATGGGACTTGTCAACTTAAGTCGCAGGGTGACGGATGCAGTGGCAGTGCCCTCAGATCTTTGCGATTTAAAACTCTGGGCGGCTGCAACTGCTATGTAGCTTACCATCAGGCGCACAACATGATCGTCCCGTCACTTGATATTATAATAGAAATATATTTATGATAGTCCTTACCATACGCGCATTGTTTGCAAAACTTGAAAAGCTACCTTTAAACAGACGAAAGTTGATCAGAGAAAATTCAGTATATACTTACTCGTACAATACAATTTTTTACCTTTCAGAATAATGTAAATTGAATGACTGAACCTAGTGTTACAAGAGAAATAAACTAAATATGAAACAGACAGAACAAAGCAGCGGTTTATTATAAAACAGATTTCACGGAGTTACTACTCGACGTTAATGTTGTGTAAACTCACGGGGTAATATGCCTTGCGTTGTCTTTTCCTTATGGATGTGTACAATATTTGCTCAAAATAAGTGTGTTGCACCAGATACAGACAAGAAATAGACGTAAAAATTGGCTATGCCGTCCATAGTTTGCACAATAATGCAACGCGTTCGTTTTTCCTTGCACAACACACACGCGCTCACATAATACGCAAAAACACGTACTTGGTAAAGTGAATCTCGACCGTATAGTCGGCCCCATAGACATATCTATAACTAACTCCGTAATAAGTGAATCTATAACTTCGACTTAAAAACAATAAGCGAAAAGTAATTTTGAGGATTCACGGTAAAACAGGAAAGCATTTGCGGAAACCACTGTACAAGCTACTTCGGCGTGATGTATTACTTTCCTAATAACTACAGCTGTGAATCCAGAGTTGAGCAAGCCTACGCCCTACATTTCGGCGGGTTATCTCCAGTTTTGGAATTGTTGCTTCAACGCTTAATTTCTCTTTCGGAAAATAGGTGGCACTTGACAGTTTATTGTTCGCCGAGGTGGTCTTTTGCTGTTGCATCCCTGTTTCGTTTAAGCCGTACTCGGTCGTACCGTGGAGGTCCTTAATTTCTCGAGGTAGTCCAAGAGGTTGTTTATTTCGCGTTCTATCATCATCATCATCAATGAGGTTATCGCTATAGGCCGACAAATGGACGGGTCTGCGTTGTCACACTTCCTGGGTTTTCCTGGGAGCGCACGTCCTGAACACAGTAGCGGGTATGCCATCGTGCTTACTGGACTTCTTGACGTCGAGGACAAAAAGAGCACGACGTGCCGCACTTTGCGTGAAACGGATTTCGGGCATTGAGTACTTACATCGCGGAAGAGCAGGTCGTGAGTTACCCTCGTCGCCAAGAGTTGAATCCGACGCAAAAAGAGAGCACAGAAAATCAGGTTTCTCTTAGCGGATTGAGTTATTGTGAACCATCAAGCTTACGCAATGGTGGTAGTGACACTCCATAAAAGTTTCCCTGAACAGCCTTCGCGAGGGACCAGAAGACACGGCTACCCGACCGCCAGCCAACTAGCTTTTCGCCAATTTTGCGAGTGTGCGCAAACTTTGTTGCGGCAATTTCGGTTTTGCAGGACCTGGAAGCAATGTTAAATTTCGCTTCAGTTTGGAACATTTACAATTCTCGACAATATAAGAAATTTTACTGGAAAATGAACTAACAAAACTCTGTTAAGAAAACCGATATCACCCGACACTCTTGCTATAACTTCAATATGTAAGTTCCGTAATATCAAAAAGTTTACTTACTTACTTACGAAGAGCGAAGCGAGCTGTAGTTTAAAACTGACGAACCTAATTATATAATAATAACCTGATATGATCTCATACGAAGTATCTTAAATAATATAAAACGACGATATCAAAGTTGTGTAATATAAGTATTGATACTTAGAGATACATCTTTTTCATCGTCCAACTTAAATATGTATACATTTATATTATATTATATGTATACATAACGTTGCTGCCAAACAAGAGCCAATTTGATCAACTAGCATACCAACTTGCGCATAC